CACCAAGTCCGCTCCGCACTCTGGCAAAACCGAGGCTGGGCTCAGCCTCAGCTCGGGCGAAAGATGACATAAAAAGAGGGAAAAAGAACAGAAGAGAGGGGGGGGGTTGTACTGCGCTCAGCAAGCTGTCGCCAGAAGGCCTCGTCGTAGAGGGACAAAGTCGCCCAGCTTCGGCACGCCAGGGCGGCTGCGTAGAGGTCCGGTAGCGGGAGCCACCTGAGCACCTCTTGCCACATCTCCTCCGGCAACTTTTCTCTGCCGTCGCTCTCCTTGTCCATCGCCTTCTCAAGCTTCTCGTGTTTAGTCGGGAAAACTGTTCTTCGTTTTTTGTCGACATACAGCTGCCTGTGCCCCGCGAGTGCGAGTGCCTCGTTGAGACGAAAAAGATAGCGAAAGCGAAAGCAAAGACGAAGACGACGAGAACGAACACGAAAAAGAAAGCGAAAGCGAAAGCGAAGACGAACAGAGACAAGGGAGGGAAAAGCACCGCACGCAGTTAGCACGGGTCGAGCGCGAGTGGGACCATGAGCGCGAGCTGAGGGGCGCGGCCCAGGACCAGCTCAGGGAGGCCGCCGCGCTGCGGGAGCAGGACTTGCTCGCCCTCGAGCAGGTCAAGCGCGAGAACGACAACCTCATGGACATGCTCGAGGCCACCATCGTCCAGCGCGAGAGCCTCAAGTCCCTCGTGCGCGAGCTCCACCAGCAGCAGCAGCAGATCAGCTCGCCCGCCGCCCTGCAGCGACACGACCGCGACGACTGTGCGGTCGACACGCAGGCCATCACGCACGACGACAACGACCACGACCACGACGACGATGCGGTGCTGCTGCGTCGCGAGGAGGAGCGCCTGCAGGGCGAGAATGGGGCGCTGCTGCTGGCCGTGGCCCAGGCGCGGACGAACGAGGAGACCCGCGAGGCCGAGGTGGTCAAAGTGGTGGAGCGACGCCTGGCCTTGCTGAACCCCACAGTGCGGTGAGCCTGGGCAAGCTCGAAATGCTCCGCCGCGATGTCGCATCACATAACGTCGACGTGTGGTCGCCCACCCCAGTACTAACACCGCCTGGCGCAGCTGAACTTCGGCTGTTCGGATGGGAAGCGGTGCTTTCTCCGCAGTAAGGCCGTATCCGACATTCTTCACAAGCATTAAGCACTTCGCCAGCATCTGATCTTCGGTGTGTGACCACCTTGGTCTATCCCTCGATTGGCTTTCAACTGCTCGTTGTGCCGGACCACAGCAATCAGCGTGATTCTCGCTAAGTGATGGAACACTGCTTGTGAGGTGATTTTGATGATACAAAAGCGACAGTCTACAACAAGGACGCTCCACGGCGTGGTTTGCATCTACTTGAGCTCGACCCCTGGCTCAAAGCCGAGCTGGGTCATGAAGTTCTGGAAGCCCTTCATGAACTCGCGTACGAAATCCTGCACAATGTCCTGCGGAGAAGGGTGAGAGCCAGGCCTTGCATGGCCTCTTTATCCCCTATGAAGCGGGGCGGTACCGTTGGTATCCAGTTGTCAAAGTGCTCGTCCAGAGTCATCAGGTTCGCCTCCTCCGCCGCACGCTGCATCAGAAAGTAGAAATCCTGGGTGCTCATTCCATACGCTCGCTTGACGTTCAGAATCTGAAGAGCATGATATGAAGAAAGCGACCTTGTCAGCTTAGCG